GCCCTCATGCGCCTAGGCGCTTGATTGGCCATCGGGCCCCTTGTTCCTGGCCACATTGGGCGACCTCGCCGCGCACGACTTCATCCTAGCCGGCTGGTGTCACCTCTAGGCGCGCGCACATCGCGCCTCCATTGTCTGTAGGCGGGCCGATAACTTGACCTGAAAGTTCACTCGGACCGCCTCTTAGGAATAATCTCAACATCAGCGACCAACAATCAAACTGCCGGAGTGCAATGAGCCTTCCTCCCCCCCCAGCACAACGAACCGTTATTCTTTTGCTCCCCCTCGCTCAAGGGTAAAGCATAACTCACCCTCACATACACAATTGGCCAAGAAGTCTAATTTTACATTCTCTTTCACTTCTTTGCATTTTGTCTAACGACGAGTTTGTGTCCTCAACACGACGAGTCACAAGTATATTTTTTTCCGATGAGCCCCCTCCTTCTATCATTATATTGCCCTGAGTGCATACCATCCGCTTTCTACCTATAGCTATTCGTGCCATATATTGATTGCCTTATATATTTTTGGTGGCTACATACTTTAAATTCGTAGCTTTGAATTTATGATATAGTCATGCGTTCCGTGATTAAATTAACTCTGATTGCTTTAGAAGATGCATTTAAAATGCCCCAGCATCATTTTCTATTTCATCTTACGACAAAATTATCTCCAAAAAAAATTAGTCTCCTGTTCGAATATTTATTCCAACTTGCGCATGTCAGGTTATAAACAGGGGGCGTAATTTATAGAACAGTTCAAACATATCAGGTAGATGCTACGAATTTATATAGAGGTAGGAAGACATTACCGAAACAGACAATAGAGATAGATTAATAGAAACCACTCGTCCCATTGTACCTTTGAATTCACGCAAGCGCCCTGACATTAGTGGCTCTGTGGCTAGTACATCATAAGCGGAAGGATGTCCGCCTGTGTGCACTAAAATGACTGTTGCAAAAAAGTACAGCTAGAAGTCACCTGCGGCGCCCGGGATAAGGTCTCTTTACGAAACATGCTTAACTTCTCACTCATTCAATCGAGGTTATTTCCCTTTAACCAGACTTTATTTTTAAATTAAAAATAAAACTCATATTTTTAGAACTCGTTTTTTTGTCAGCGCCATGTTTATTGCTAATACTCATTTTATTTAAGCTGGAGTCGAATCAAAGAAGAACCTGTTTACGAAATTGTAAATGGTCAGTTCAACATGACTTTCGTTCATCAGTTTTCCGACATTCCCAATACAAAGACATTTTTTGCGTTTGCCTATCCTTGGTCTTACGCGGAATCGCAGGCCCTCTTGGAACAGATCGGCAGGCTATCAACTCAGCTCCTAGCGACTCGGAGATCGCGTCGTCCCGGGAGACGAACTAGTATTGTTGCAAGAAGTTCTCCGGAATCTAAAACACCCTCGGAGACTGTACGACCGACCAGCATTTATTTTCATCGCGAAGTGCTCTGTCACAGTCTCGGGGGTCGAAATATTGATTTGCTTACCATAAGTGATCATGAAAATCAACTGAAAGAAAGGGAAGATAGGTTTGACCCACTACTTTTTCCTCATCCTGAAAATCCTCGTCCGTGGAAATATGCAAACAAAAAGGTACAAAGTTACGCACGTCAGTTTCCTAGACTATTACTATATGTATACTTTCACAAACCGTTGCCGTGCGATAATTTGACTGAAGAGTATCCTGTGATTTACTATTCAGTATTAGTTCCCTTGTTAGGCTTTTGTTTTATACTCCAATTGGAACTAAGAAAACGCTTGCAGCAGTGAAAGTCGATATATGCACGTTTTTATCCATTATCAGGCTTATAGTTTGCACACTTGAACCTTTTCACCGTTCAAATGGGTATCACTGCTAAAATTAAAAGCTTTTGAAACTCGAAAAACTGGTAAAAAAGCATGGCATTATGTAATATTAAGTGAACCTGAGACTTCAATATATTTTTCGTTATTAAGTTACAAAAAGCTGCCTTTTTGAAGGTTCCAGAGGCGAAACAAAAATATTTGGTTAAGCACTGAAAATGCTTCGGAATTGCAGTATAGGAACGGATGAAGTTTATTTAAAAAAAGCCAAGTTGCTAAGAGAAATTTTTGTTCTGAACCAATGGATAGCCATCGTTTTCTAATTTTATGGAAGCAAAATACACGGCACTCTTAAGGTATTTAGTAGAAATTCGGCAAAAATAAAGTTGGTCGCCCACCATAGATGCTACTGGCCCCTAGTCCTATGGTTTCTTTTAGTTCATTAGTTTTAGTTTGGTTTTCAGTTTATTATTTAGTTTATTAGCCTAATTTTAGGTTAAGCCCATTTTAGATTTTTGTTTTCTTACATACCGGCAAACATCAGATAAGTGTAGTTTAATCACTACTATATACTAAACTATACTAAATAAACTAAAGTTCATGTTAGTTCATGTTCATGAAAGCCTGTGGGGCGTGGTTAAAGGGTGTGAGGGGGAAGAGA